AGGAGAGTCATTGTGGGTGATTGATCCAGAGTGATTATATACCAGGGAAAACAGTGAAAACCAGTCTTCAGAACCCACATTGGGCCTGGCTCCATTAGGCCTACAGTCAGCTCTCACAAACCACCATGGCCGTTCACTTTTCCTGACGTCCCCTCTCTTCTTGTTTTACTCTGTTTGCACATCAGGCAATTGCAGCTGACATTGCTGATGTGGCCCTGTAACATGCAGTGAAGCGATTCTGACTGGTCCATGACATAATTCTGCTTCTAAAGATTAGTCAGTATTTTATATCTATTACTGTAAATGTTAACCATTAAAAGGCCATGGCAGTGAAGACACTGAATCCTCATCACTAGACTACCAGGGTAGACCTCTGTTCATATCACCCTGGACACTGTTTGATTTGTCATTACAATCTCCCGTTCTTCTGCACACGATTGCCTCGGCTCTGCGTTGGATTTGTCACATTGTCTTCGTGTATGATGCACAGGCTATCCAGTAATCTATTACATTGCAGTTTCTAATGCATGACTTTGCAGTTTAGTGGTTCACCTTGTGGTCTTGAGTTGCATTCTTCCTGGGGAGTGAGAGAATTTTCACCACCTGCTGCAACCAACATCCGAAGGAGCTCTTTAAAGTCGTTCAAAATTATTTCTCATTAAATAGCGTTAACACCACCATGCCATTTCCTCACCCAGCCAGAAATGCGTTTGAAACACTAATTTCCTGTTTGTCCTTCCAGGTACTTGAGGAAGATCTTTCGGGAGGATGGAAAGCAGCTGATGTGAGCAATATTCCAGTTAGGCAGAACAAAATGCAAAGTAACGGGGAAACAATGGGGGAGAAACATGGACAGGGGAGGGGCCGAATTCTTCCTTTCATTGTTGTAACCATACACTGGTTTTGAAGTCTAAATTGGGATGATATAAGCCAGATGGGTGAAATCCTTGCTTTCTAGGGGTTGGTCTCTCCTGAGGCCGCTGTCATTCTTGGGGCAATGTGCCTGTGTGTTTCCCTCTGTGGGTGAAAATGAGGTTCAGTTCCCTGAGGGGGCATGAACACAATTTTACCATCTCAAACCTCAGTCCCATTCTTTGTGTCGCTTGAGATTAAAACGTTACAGGGAAAAAAAAAAATTTTGAGATGAACGCTTGAAATGGCAGAGCACACAGGGCTACAGGCTAAGTGCTGGAAACAGGGATGATGGGCCTCTTTCCCTGCTGTACAAACTCAGTAAGTTGATTATTTTGGAGGAGAAACTTAACTCCAGTGAAAAAAAAGCCAAAAACTGTGTCAGTAAGAAAATAAGCATGCTTTTCCACTGTCATCCCTGTGGTGTTGACAGGGACATGAGCAGCAATAGTTTGGTGGACACAAGGTGAACAACCAGCAAAGATAATCACCGTCACTGCTTCAGTTCAATGGTTCCCGCTTAATGAAGCGGTGAATTTTACCGGCAAAGAAAACACATTTGTCATCAGGAGGCTGCTTCAGTGTCTCCTCTTTTTCTGCTAGTGTCATCATGAAGTTCCTTTCTGCTGTTCGACAAGCACGTCTGCTTCTCCTTTACTTCTATTCCCATCCCTTCATTCCCAGTTTGGCAGGAATAATGAGGTGAGGTGGGATAAACTGCAGATTTAGGAGGGAATGTTGTGGTAATGGCACAGACAGGATGAGCTGATCACTCTCATTCTCTGCTGTCACCATTCATTCATTTTACACCAACAGGAAAGACATCACGAGAATCCTATAATTGTGGTGGACGTTTTTTTTCTGACGGATTCGGAATTTTACTTCAAATTCTAAAGATTCACAATCTTTTGAGAGAACAAATGTCTCGTTATCTCCGTCCTTAGTGACAGACACATTATCCAGGGAATGTGAGCACAGTTCTAAACACTCCAGCCAGGAGGAAAAACTCTCCCAGCAGCTCCACTCTCAAATTATCTTCAAATTTCTGACTTTAAACAGAGCAGGAATGGGAAATGAGGGATACTGACAGAAGGAGAGTCGGAGAACGTGAAAGAGGGTGAGGCGGATATACAGAGACAAATAGAGACACAAATTGAGGTAGACAGTGAAAGGACCAATTTTCCATTCAACTTGGCTGCTAATTGACACAAAGGAAAAGAAAAAGGAACCATTTAAGCAGAGCCTTTCACCACCTAAGGGAACAGAAGCAGCATTAGAGCCAATGAAATCCCTTTAAAGTTGTAAAGTTGACGGTGGTAAGCTTATGAGAGAGAGTAATTTTTTTTAATAAGCTGATTTGATAGATAAAGCCAATATGGGCAAATGGCAATGAGCTTATCCCTGTCATCTCAAATGACCACAAATGGGACTTAGGTTTGAGATGGTAAAGTTGTGTTAATACCTCCTTGAGGAACTCATTCTGATTTCCACCCACGGAGGGAGATACACAGACACATCTCCGAGAATGACAGAGGCCTCAGGATTATACCCGCTCCACGTGCCTCACGTCCGCTCTCTGTCCCCACCCACAAGTTTATCTGACAAAAGGTAGCTTTAGGTGGAACACAAGCGACTTCTCCAGACAACGAGAATCATTACCGTGAGCTGGGATATGAAATGGACAGTTGACTAAAATAGTCCCGCAAGCTGCTCATGTTCAACTTTTAATTTTGACAATTCATTGACCCAATCACTGCAGTTCCTGGAAATCTGACAGGACAGCACCCAGCAGACATCCCTCACTAAAGACAACTGACACAATGTGTCACAACATGGAATGGCCAAACCCCTCTAATAATTAAACTAAAATACAAGCCCCGATCTGTTATCACAGGAGCAGAGGTTTCCGTCTAATAATTACTCCCTAAACCCACAGAGAAGCTTGCCTTTCCCCTCAAACTATTAAAAGAGTATTGAATGGAAAGAACATCCTTGATCTCCACTTTACAAGTGACAAGAAGCAATTTATTTATTTAACTCAACAATGAGCAAATTAACAAAATTACTAACAAACTGACAATTCACAGACTGCTAACTACTCCCTAAATGGTCTAAATTCTACTATAATGCTGTTTACATAAAAACAAGTCCCACTAATATAAACACAATTAATAAGAAGCAATAAATAAATTATAAATTAATCTCTCCATATTCACACAGACTGATTCTGGAATATTCTGTCGTCTCCGCTCTCTTCACAAACGCCTTTATTCCACTAACTCTGCTGTCAGGAATGTTTTATCTCTCAAATTTCTTCAGTAAGGACTTTGAGCTAAAATGCTGTGGTACTTTTGATGAATTCGATGTGCTTTCTCTGAGAGCTGAATGGTGCTAACTCTGGCAGATGACAGTCGGTTCTCTCCCTCGCCTTCTCTCCCCATTACTACATCATCACATTCTTACCATGTGATTGGTTTCAGGTTGTAAACACCATCAGATTTCAATCCAATTGGCTTCCTGTATCTAGGGGCTTCGTTTACATTAATTGGCCAAATTCAAACAAGACGGATGTTTTGCCTGCCGCCTGGAAGGCTTTCATACATTTGTTTCACTTTTTGAGGCTCTCTGTACTGGCAACTTCAGCTGCTGCTCACTGACAGACTTTTTGTTATAAATCTGAAGGGAACCACATATCTTAGCTTCCTGCCTTCCACTTCCCAATTACTCTATTCAAATTCATAAAATAAGGCAAACTCTAAACACTTTCGTGTTGCTTCTCTTTCTGCTTCTGTCCCTGTCTCACCTCCAGCTCCCAGCTCAATGACCTGCTTAGTACGAATGTAGGTAGATCATGAAGCCAATCTTTACCTGGAAAGCAGGGCCAGGGATTGTAACACAAGGCATTGAGAAGCAATGATATTGCGCACGGCTGGGTAAAAAGGCACCAGTATCGTATTTTCCTGATTGTCTCAGATATTGATTCCGGGAATATGCACAGTCCCAGTTATTCCCAATCTCAATGGATAATGTGCCTGACAGACAGGAGTGTATTTTGCAAGCGTTGTCCTGTCACTTCACAAACAGATCTCCAGCACTGAAGAAAGACCCTTCAGGTCTGCAGCAGTTTAACTCAAGACCCTGAGTATTCTATTCTCATTTCCCAGCACTTC